CTAGTCTGTTAAGGATGGCCTCCTTGATAATCTTTTCCAAGACCTTCCCCAGGATAGAGGTCAGGCTGATGGGTCTGTAGTTTGCCGGATTTACTCTTCTCCCTTTCTTGAATATAGGCACCACATTGGCCCTCTTTCAATCATCAGGCACTTCACCAGAGCGCCAAGAGTTCTCCAAGATCCATGCCAGTGGCTGAGCTATGATGCTCGCCAGCTCCCCGAGTACCCTGGGGTGTAGATTGTCAGGGCCGGCTGACTTGAAGGTATCTAGCTGTCGAGGTGTTCCTTCACGAGGTCAGCTTTCATGGAGGGCAAAGAATCTCCCTTGCCTGGGCCTCCCTGACCCATAGTGGGCAGGGCCGTCCCATGGGACTGGTGAAAAACTGACGCAAAGTACCCATTTAGCAAGTTCCCTTTTTCCTGGGTGTCCTGATTTGTTCTCTGCAAGTCTGGACTAAAGCAGAGTATTCCTCCTTGGTGGCGGTTCCAGTCCTCCATCCTTAAAAGGAAGACCTACAAAGATGCAGGAGGTCCGCCCAATAAAGTAAAGCTATACACTAAGTAATCCAAATACAGTATATCATAGCTTTCACTTACAATAACTGATGTAACAAAATTTACTATATGCTGTTTTGCTATAAGACATAGCATTTTTGTTAAGTTTCTGGAAGTTGTAAAAAAATAAATAAATAAATAAAGCAAATAGCAGTCTTGTTTATGGACAACCATAAATTGAGGAAGAGAAAAATCAGGAGGGCAAGCAGTATTCCATAATGCTGAAGGAAGAAGGTAAGAATCCTTCTCTCCAAATGTGCAATTTTGACAGAAACATAAATCCAAACTGACTGACACCTTTCATGTCCACAGGAAAACTGATTCAGTCCAGTTCCAAAAGTTTCAGCGAAACAAATGATAATAAAAACAGTAAGAAGCCATTAATTTGAACGTTAGACTCAGCCATCTATGTGGCTGGAGGGGTCCTGTCTACATGGGATACAGGCTGGAGGGAAATTTGGAGAACTCAGCAAATTCAAGAAGAAGACCTGCTCCCCAGTCTGCGTACCACTCTCCGCCCACTTAAGTCTCCAGCTGGCTTAAGTGAGAATCCATGCTGTGCTGTCACAGGCAGCCAGACTTTTTGGGATAAATGTCTATTTTTGTGTTCTGAAGTGCAAGCAAATAAAAGGTTGGGCTGTAGACCTGTTTCTGCCTCTTATCAGTAGCCATCCTGCAAGATCACCTGTAATATGGATAACAAATTGCTTGAAAAAGAAAAATCCATCATCATGGAGGAAGATGAAGGTGGTACGTAGCCACAGGATACAAAGGAGCATCCATACATTTGGACCACAACACAGCTCAATCCCACAGAGAGATCAAGTGCCGACTTGGGCCTTGGAGATGACTTGCAAAAATCTTAACCACTGGGTAACAAGGATCTTGGCAATCCCCAAATTGGCAGGTGCGCGGCTGAAATTGCAGTTAAGCATGATCACAACAAATTTACAGCTAACCTGGTCTGCTTAAGATACAGCCAATAGCTTTATTTGAAGATCAACAGAAGAGCATACTCAACCAGTGTATCTGCTCCAGATCCCAGCCATAAACACTGTATATGCCAGGAAAAGAAATTCCATGATTTATCATGAAGTTTCACAGATTTCCTACCATAAGTGAGCCCATCTCACTCTACCACATCTCTTAAGAAAACTAAGGTTAGACAACAAAGCCAACATCACTGGGACCAGGAAACATCCTACCTACCTTATGAACACCCCTGCTCCTGTAGCAAGCTACTGTTTCTTCTAATATTTACCCATACTTCTTTATGCAGAGCAGACCATAGTCTCTGAACTGTCAGATTCTCCTTTTCCAATGAGCTGCCTCATCACAACAATACACTGGAAATGCACATCTATGAAGTGGTGGTTTCCTTTACCTCTCTGGGCCAGAATTCCCGTCCCTCCAGCTGGTCCTGCAAATAATCACGAATGATGTTGGTTTTCTGCAGGAAAAGTCCCATGGAATTTGCAAGCTCTGTGTCCTGTCCTACGATAGGGTCTTCAAGCTCCGAAGCAGAGAAGAGACGGGAAAGACCAATCCCTACCAGTCCAGCAACATAGTGGCAATACTGCAAAAATTGGGGAGGAAAAAAAAAAAGAGTTCTGAGAAATGTATCTTCCAGAGTTCCTGAGGTTTCAAGAAAATTAGCAGTTACTTAACCAGCTTATTCTGGGCAGCTCTGTAGGACTTTCCCCAGAATAATTCCCCTGTTTGCCCATCAAACCTGGCTGGACCAATGCCACTGACATTTAGGTACCATCCTTGACCCCAGAGCACCAGGCAACAAGTACTCCATGGCACAGCTGCCTTTGCTGAACAGACAACAACCTCCCAACATGAATGTGTTTCTGCAGGAGGCCAGGCAAGGCCTCTAGCTGGGGCTGTGCACATTGCCCCGAGCTGGTTCCTTCACTGCTCAGACATCCCTACCTTGTCCAAATCCTGCACGGAGTTGACCTTCTTTTCCAAGTACTCTGCCATTCCCACTCCCATCTTACGACAAATATCAGTGATCACATCCTGATACACCTCAGCCAGGTTCCTGAACTCCAAGGAGATCTACAGCAGAAACCACAAAGAGATATGCACAGTGTCAAAGCAAAGCAGAGTCTGGTATTCATGAACAGACTAGGACCAAGCAACACAGGGACTGTTTAGTAGGTTCTTCTCCTGCTCTCGCTGTTGGCTAAACTCCCATTGACTGAAGATGGTGCAGGACCAAGTCTTTGTGTGCAGTGAACACATGCTCAATAGCTCCTCTGGCCTTTGACCATCGCTCAGATGCTATGTGTATCTTCCTAACGGTGTGCAACTTGGGCCTGTTTCACTTGGGAGTCCAGAAATGCAGAAGGTACAAAATAGAAGTGTAGGGCACCACATGTAACTTATGGGAAAGCCCTGTCAGAGGACTACTTGGTGAAGCAGCAAGAACAGACTCCCAGTGTTGGACTCCCTACCATCTCACACTCTCTCAAGATCATGCTCTCTCCAGACTTTAGTATGTGCCAGTTGCAGTGGGCCCTTTCTCCATGAAAAGCAGCAGTCACCACACCAGGACCCAGGAGACTGCAGCTCTATTCTCAGCTCTACCCAGCTGGCTGGGAGATACCAGGCAAGTCACTGCCACTCTGTGCTACAGTTTCTTCTTATATAAAAGCTAGTGACAGCGATAACTACTTTTTTTGTACACGACCCAATATTCCTTTAAAAAGAAAAAAAATCTACTGATGAAGTATACTGTATGTAGATACTGTTTGACGGTTTCTGGTAGACACTAACTCTTTACCAGTTTCTAGGCATAGGTGAATTAATGAATGGGCAAGCTGGGCATGAGCCTGGCGCCCCTACCAATTTGGGGCCCTGGCCCCAAGATCTTTATCAGCAGGGAAGTGAAAGCCAGAGTTTTAAACTCGGCACCCATTTTGGGCACCAAGTTTAAAACTGCGGCTTTCACCTTGGCTTCCCTGGGAGCTGGAAGCAGGGCTTCTCCACCAATGGGGTGGAGTTGGACCGGGATGGGGTCCAGCTAGAGAGCCATGCTGTGCTTTTGTGGGTGATGGTGCTGGGAGGGCCTTGGGGGCTATAGCCCCCTCAGATTCATCTTAGCCCCCCACAGCCACCCCTCCCAGTGCCATCGCCTGCCTGCAGAGACATGGTGCAGTGCTCCCGGCCCAGCCGCCCCTCTGCATCTGCAGGGCTGCACGGGACAGCCAGGCAGCATCTCCCTGCAGGTAAGTGTAACAGGGGCCAGGCCAGGAGCGAGACTGAGCTGTGGGTGGCTGGGAGCTGCCTCTGTGTGATCCAGAGTGGGTGTGGGGGGAGGTCCTGTGAGGGAAAAGTGCATGCCTGTCCATCTGCGTATATGCCTGTATCTAGCTGCCTCTATGTGCCCACGTGCAGAGTGAGAGTAGAGTGTGCGTGCATGTTGGGTCATAGCGGGGGCAGGGAGTGGAGAGAAAAGGTGGGCACGTGCCCCCCCAGCCCGGTGGGATTCCCCCAACCTCCCCTGCCAGCGCTAGTAGGGGAAGGGGCCCCTGGTTCCCACTTATGAAGCCCAGCTCCCATGAGGAGAGGGGGGCCTCCAATTTTGTGCTTGTCCAGGGCCCCAGTATACATGAATCCATCTCTGTTTCTAGAAGATGTGTATCAAAATAGCATTGTATTTTGCAATTAAGTTTTGAACATTGCACTGCATTGCAAAATGGCATCTGTATCAAAATTGCAATGAGGTTTTGAACATGTACTGGAGTCCCTAAAAGACCCAGAGAGTGTAACTAGCCAGAAGATTATTTCAGAGAATAGCATTCCCTTCAGTACCTTTTTCAAAGAATAGACCTAATAAATTATTAACATGTTTGCCCACCTCTATTGTAGTGACATTCCTGAATCTGAATGCCAAGACCTTTTCTTGAAAGCAAGGCCATCAACACCTATTCTTGGTAGGTGGCTCATGGCCACCAATGAATATCTGGAATTTCAGGGAGGCCTGTGGAACCCAAATTCCATCGACTATCACGTTACTTTTTGAAAATCCCAGCCTCAATATCAAGTTACCGTGGGCTGGGCGACAGAAATGATCCCACGCTCCCTTATAAAAATACCAAGCCCAAGACTGCAGTGGAAGTCACATCCAAACCTTGAGCTGTACGAAGAAAATTTCCATGCACATTCTCAGCTGCTTCATCAGTTGCAAATATTGGGAAGGGAGTGGGAGTAATTTTAAGGGACAGTAACTATTATGGAGCCTGTCCCAAGGTTTATTGACTGATCACACAGATCCTTCCATTCCCTTATATATCTAATAATTCACAATTATGCACCAGAAATTCTGTGCAGATCTGGGGAGTTGTAATTCAGGAAACTTGGGCTACTACTCCACGTGTTTTTATGTGCTCCCTCCCACCCAACATCTTAGTGCCTCAGCAGAACGGCTTCTGGGTACCAGGCAATGCAAATGTGGCCTTGGGTTGTGGCAAGCCTACTTAAAGCAGGGTGTCAGAATGGTGAGAGGTGCGGGCTTCTGTTCTTTCAAGTACAGCCCGGCATGTCTAAGCTGGGAAGCGCTCAGACAGTTCAGAAATATGCAAACGGAGCTGTGTTCCGCATCCCTCATCCATATTTTGTTCAAACAGCAAATCCTGTAACACTTAAGCAGGGACTGCCAATGACAAAGTCCTCAGCAGCTGACATGTAACCATCACACCAGGGGCGCTATTGCTCTGGCTCAGGCCAAAGCCATTTTTAATGCTCATCAAGTCAGCACAAAACAGTGACCATATAGCTCAGGAGGGGCAGACCATTTACCCGCAGTGGGACTCAGGACTAGATCAGGCTGGATCTGATCCTGTTGGATCAAGATGCAAGAAGGCTTGATAAGCGTACCCGTAAAAGTTAACTCGCAAGCTACTGTGGTGAGGGTGGAAGTGAGGGCTAAGGGCTTACTGTGGGGAAGTCCTCCAGTACTTGCTTGTCCTTCTCCTTGCTTTCGGTGTACCTCCACTCTGGCTGATACAGGTAGGAGTGGAACTCGTGCAGCATTGGGACTTTAGTTTCTAAACTGATGGTCATGTCATCTTCTATGGTGTCCAGGGCTCGGAGAACCAAATAGAATATGCAAACGGCATGACTGCAGGAGAAGGAGAAGTGTAACACATGACTCAATGTTCCCTACTAGACAGGCAAGCAGTTAAAGATTATTCTGTAGCTATGGCTAGAAATAAGAGAGACTGTCAGTTCTGCACATGATTTCCATGCTTTCAGGAAAAGAATGCATGAAGAGAGACAGGCTCAAATCATAACATTCAGACCTTTATTTCTAACATGTTGAGTCTTTGGGAATGATCACATGCAAAACTTTCTTTCAGATCCCTTCATAGTAGAAGAGGATCCACAAATGAAATTCTGAGGCCAAATGTGATCACCTGCGATCACCCATCTGTCTTTAACTATACATCCACCCAGTGGTAACCCTTACAATACTGGTATCTCTTGAGATAATGCCGTGGCAGTCATTACAGACATTTAAGGACATATGCATGGAAGTACAGTATACTCTACATAAGCCTCAAGGCTTAAAAAAAAGGCTACATACTTAACCTGGAGTTCAAATTTAACATCAGCAGACATTGCATGTGCTCAGCTGTGTGTACCTGGTTATGCCCTAGTACAGAGCAACTACCTTGCCCTTCATAAGACAGGAAGATTCAATGTACTCAATCAAACAGCTGTTTGCCTATTAACAACTAGCTACACAAATCCTTGTTTGTGCACCACCAATTTTGCAGCTCTTGCTTGGAAATGGAGAGGTGCCAATCAGTTTCCCCAATTATTCGGCAGTTCAGTGGAGCATAAGTAGATGGCTTCCTTGGGGCACATCTTCACTGCGTAGGACAAGATACAATTTTGTACTACCAACTCCCATACAGCATCTGCTGCTCCAATATTTGAAGTTATTCAGTTCCTTCTGCAGGACGTGCTCATCCTAGCTTGCACCATGGATAAATTTTCTTAGCATCCCCCTGTATTTTGCCCCAGGTCGTTAAAGAAAGTATTAAACAGGAGCCTGATAGGTTACTAGTGCAATCTCCTTCTGTCCTTCCCAACACAACCTGCTGTCATCTTTTGACCACATATCTACCAGCCTTGCTCTAATCCCCAGCTTTTCCAGTTACACTGATCATTTCCAATCTGGCACCATCTCAAATGCCTTACTGAAGTCTTTGTGTTATTGCTGCAGCCCAAATCAACTACCTATGTCCAGACAAATTACATGACATTCTGCATGTAACTAGAACTTTAACAATCTCTGCTCTCTCCTATGCCTGAAGGGTGTGCGTGCACAAGAGCTTGCAAATAAAATAATTTGTTTACAAATATCTAGTTAGTTAGCCTAATAAAAGATACCACCTCTTCCATGACTTCCGAATTCCTTATGACATTCTGCAAGCATTTCCCTTTTTAGGGCTGACAAATCCACTCCTGGTTTGTCAAACGCTAATAACAACTTCAAGTGCCTTTAACCTTTATGCCAAAAAGTGACTTATAAGCTTGCACTTGAAATCTTAGATGCAATGGGCAGATGCCATGGACACGTGCAATGTTCAAGTTCCAGTGTGCATTGTTGGCCACTGCCTCTTTTCAACACAGGTTTTAATACATTTACCAGTGAAGCTACTGTATCATTAACAAAATGACATGCAATGCGGATGCAGAGCTCTGATGGCAGCCCAAAGTCCTGCTGCACTGACACAGCCACGCTGCTACCCATCTGGGAAGACTCAGCCAGGGTGGCAATAACAGTGAAATCACCCAAACTCGGCAGCGTTAGGACCCAGGGGCTGTAGCCACTGTAAAAGCTTGATGGCAGGGGGAAGCTGCTCCAGATAAAGGAAGGTGGGAACAACAGGAACTGCTGTGTGGACACCCCTCCAGTTCCCCTCTGAAACTGCTTGGCAGCTCATTTCCAAGGGGCACTAAAATTATAACCAGAAAGCAGCAGCATTTAGTGAGATTAAGAGCGTCTCCAAGGGGAAGCTCCTGCGCTTTAATAAATTCACGGCCCAATTCACTTCTGCAAGAGCTTCCCTAGGACAAAAACACCCGCCTGGAGGGAGGGAAGGGGAAGCTGCAACGCCTCCCTCTGCAGTAGATCCTGCCATTTTGTAAGAACCAAAAGGATGCAAGACAGGAACAGGACTGGGGGGCCCAGAGCCAGGATGAGGACCATGAGCTGGGGTCCTCCTGCTCAGATCCAGGCATTCGCTGATCCACCTGCTTCCAGTCACTGCCCTAAAACTAAGAATCCCGTTTCAAAAGCAATGATAGGTTGTGTCTGCAGATTCTGAATCCTGCCTCTACACTGGCCCGATGTGGGGTTTCAGGCATATCGCCGGCTCTCTCAGCCCAGCCCAGCCCAGCCCAGCCCAGCCCTCCCTCTACACCAAAACCTCAAAAATCCCAGAAACAACAGTAGCTAATTGGGAAAGCAAAAAAAAAAAAAAAGGAGATGCTAGTTCCAGCCCTGAGATTATAAATATAATCCGCCAAGTATGATATAATAAGGATAATACCCACTTCAAAGGGAAACTGCAAGAATTAATTAGCTCCATCTTGTGTCTCACATTAGGAATTAAGCACTAAATGAAAACAGAGCATAAGTCAGCCGAGATCATAATAAGCAATTAAGGATTACAAAATAATAGGAAAATGGCTGGATCATAGCTTTTTACTGCTAAAATGTATACCTCTGGTTGTTTTATTAAGGAGGGGAAAGGTTGTAGAGCTAGAACAATTACACATGGGGCATCAGCTGAACTCTGCCATTAACATGCACGTGTGTAAGTGTGCAGCGCTGCAGAAAATGCCGGCCCTAAACTAGTGGTAAGAAAAAAGGGATGGGAGGGAGCAGAAGCATCACTCATGTGAATCCTTAATTCTGAAATCTTGGGTACTTGTGCCTCATGTGCTCTGATAGGGATGATCCTGCCTCAGGCAGGGGGTTGGACTAGTCCCTTCCAGCCCGACTTCTCTGCACTTCTGCTGACCCAGGGCCGTTCAGTGGCTATCAAACCCTGAAGGCGCCTCAGCTCCCCAAGCCCTCCCTTATCTGTTAAGATTGAGGATCAGCAGTCCTGCTTCTCTGCACGTCCCAAGCAGCTCCTGCTTTCCACCCTGAATTGTGACACGGTGTTTCCATGCCCTGCAGCCCAGCTACTCTGCATGCTGCCTGCATTCCCTGGCAGGAAAAGCAAATCCATGACTATCCCCCCCTACAAACACCTATTCAAGGGATTCAAGCCCAAAAGGGAAAAGGCCTGGTTATGCCAAGCACCGAACACTTGCATGCAGCCACCCAAACAGCCTGCGCTCCGCACAGGATGAGCTGCAACAGGTGTGTTTGCAGATGGCAAAGTGGGAACGAGAGCAAAAGCGGCAGCAACAGGAGCATGAGGTCATGCGACCAACTGGAGCTCAAACCTGGCATGTTTCAAGGAGCCTTTTTTTAAGCCACATTGGAGAGATTAGTGAAAAAAGCAGAGATCAAGGTTCACAAAGTACATTAGGGAGGCAAGGAGGGTGGAGTTTGGGATGAAACAGTTTGGTTAGGTCAGGAAACTTGGGGTTGTTTCTTGGCTACACCAGCGTCTCTATAGAAAGCAAATATTCTTGGAGACAGAAGCAGCCCGATCCTGGGATCGGGAGTGCAAAAGCCAGCAGCGGCGACTAGTCAAGCGCTTGCTTGGCAGAGGTAAAGGCTGCCTATGAAGACCCCAATATCAGATTGGCACGTGGGAAAATAATACGCAGCAAGGCGCTGAGGGGGAGCTTCTCCAGATTCGAGGCACCCGCCCTGGGGGGATCCGCTTACATGGGAGGAGGTGCATACAGGGCCAGGGCCAGGCCTACCCCCCGCGGGGACAGGGCCCCAGTCCTAGCAGCATGGGACGGAAGAGGCCTGGGGGGAGGAGGCCCTGCAGCTCCACCCCCTGCTCCAAGTAAACACGCAGGGTGCTGGCACAGCCCCGCCTCCTGGCCCGGGGGCTGCCGAGCCCTTCCCCCGCACGTAGCAACCCCGCGGGGGGCTCTCACCGCAGCTCCCCGTCCAGCGCCTGGATGACGGCAGCGAAGCTCCGGCTGGTCTGGTTGAGGTGCTGGTAGCAGGCGCGCAGGCTGGCGCGGAGCGGGTCCTGCGGGCAGAGCAGAGGGGGCTGCTGGGCGCGGGGCCAGGCCGGGCAGGCGCCGG